TTCTAGGACTGTGAAGAAATAAATAGTCCTGCTGCTTACACATCAGGCAGAAAAATATTTTACTGTTTCCAACCATTAGATCTGAGTCCATGAGCCCAAAAACATATAATTTGCTTAAGAAATTACAAAAGCTAAATTTTACAAATTATTTTAATACTATTTAATCTGTAGATGCTTATATGTTCAATAAAACATTTACCAGCTGATAAACTGCTAAAGAAAAATTTTAAAAATTTTATATTACCCCCCAAATTAGGCAACTGTGCAGAACATTTATATAAAAATATAATTATAGAAAAGAGGAAAATATGTACAACTAAAACTAAGAAAAAAATAAGCTAAAGGGAAAGTAATGGACCTTATGCCAAATCAAGGAATGTGACATGGAAGAGACTGGGGAAGGGATGTGGAATCATGCATGACAGAAGCCTCATTCATGCCAAGGAGGTGTAGGCTGTTTATTTTATTTGTTTTATTTTTGTGGGAAAGAAAGTGCACAAGCCTAACATGTGTAGCTGCTTAAATACAATAGTTGCATGTATTAGACAACTTCAAGTTTACTTAGAAAACTTTAAAAGACAAATTTTAAAAATTGTCAAAGCTGAGTCTTTTATGACTTGTTTCAATATAAACACCTGTCAACCTTGCCTCTAATGTGACAGAGCAGAGAGAGCATTTTAAAAATAACAATATTACCTTAGTAATATCATCTTAGCAATATTAACTTCATTATGATTACTTAATAACTTACTTAACTATTACCTTAATTATTGTTGGAATATTTGCCAAAAAGAAAACCTCTAGTGAATCTAAATAAAAATGTAGTACGCAGCCTGGTTCCTTTGGCACACCAGATAGTTTAGAATTAAATGATTAAAAGAAAACACAGGTAGAAGTAACTATTTCACTGATCTTGGATTATGGAAAGATTTTCTAGGCATCACAGCAATGGTAATAAATCAGAAAGGAAAATATTGATACATTTTTACTACATAAGACTTCTGTTTACCAAATATTCATGTACAACATCAAAAGGAAAATTATAAACTGGGAAAAACATTTACTACAATTTTAAACAAGGACCTTATGGTCTTACAAATCAGTAAGAGATTCTATCACAGAAACCTGCTATTCCTTTCTTGTTTTCAGTGTCATGCCCGAGTTAAGGCTAGCCCCTTTTCAGCCTTTAGTTCTGCAAAAACTTTCTAATATGTCTTCCTGCCTCTAGCCTTCCCTCTCCAACCATCTCTCACACTGTTACCAGAAGTATCTTTCTTAAATACAAGCGTCTTCCTTGAAATCCCAAATGGTTCCCTTTCACCTAGACAAGAAAGGTAAATCTCCTTAGCTTGGCACTGAAGACCAGTCCTCTCACCTCTTCAGCCTCTTCTTTCTTTGGCCTGCCACCTTGCGACTCTCATGCGCTAATCTGGCTTCTTGACTGTGCCAGTCTCTCCTTCACAGGCACACAGCCTTGGCTATCTCTCCTGCTGGACTGCCCTTCCTCTCTACCCAAAGTCCTCTACCTCACCTGTCCAGTCTCTGCTTCCTTCCCAGACTTGGTGTACACCATTATTAGCATTTGCCAGATTATAATTTTATTATAAACTTAAAATGTGTACATTTTAATTTGTATATGTAAATTATAATTAGTTATCTTGATATCTGTTTCTGGCTCCCACTCACTTCTTCCAATGAAGGAGCATCTCTATTCAACTGTGTATTCCTAGAATAGCATATCGTAGGTGCACAGTAAATACTATTAAATAAGAGAATATTTAATCAGATCGAAGGAATTATATAACTTTTTTAAAAAGGTAGTTAAAATATATATAAAAACTTTCAAGTACATAGGCCCCCAAATTGCAAACATTTCTAAGTAGAAATTTTCTGAAGACTGTTGCAATAAGTGGAGATTATTTATAAACCAATAATGTCATTAAAAACAGTTTGTTTTCATTTGAGTAGAGTATGCAGGCTATCTAAAATTTGTTTTACATTATGATTTTCTCTAGCAAAACTTAGGTTCACAAATTATAAGAATTATACATATTCTGGACTAGTAAAGAACAAATTTTAAAAATTATAATGCTATCACTACCACTGCAGTTACCACTTAGTGGAAACGTGTTGAATAAAATAACATACTAACATCTTTTCTTAAAATGGAGAAATGTGTTCAACTCTATTGCTACCTTATTCCACTGAGCCACTGAGCTATACCCCCCATTTCAGCACCTTACCAGTCTTAGCACTATTACTCTAAACTCTTTTTATTTAAATGGCTCACACAAAGAAGGTTTCAAGTCTGTTCACAGGCGTTATTGTAACATCATTGGTCATTTGCTGAGTACCTGAGCTTGGGTATGGCACTGTGTACCCCATTACAAAAGAAGTCACTATTTCTACCCTCAAGAAGATGACAGTCCATTTGCAGAAATAAGATGCAAACACATATAAAATAATCAAAAAAATAATTCAAGGAAACATTCAATGATCAGTGTAAAACTTTATGGTACAGTAGTTACCTAGTATAGAAGTTGAAAAGTGGTCGGGGAAGGCCTTGCTAAGAAGGCACTTGATTTGAGCTCAGAAGTGAAGCAAAGATTTGAACTATTGGAAAGAAGGGTAAAGGCACTCTGCTTAGGAAAACATCCTACCTGAGATTTTTTCCATCTCTTCCAATAGCTTTTCCAAGTCTTTATTTAGGTCTGACAGCATTTTCAGCATGTTGTCATAGTTTCTTTCCCCAGGGTCAGAATCAGCCATCTAGACAGTGCACAAAAAGATGCAGTGAGACAGACCAGTGTTTCAATTCCAGCTCCACTACTCACAGCTCGGTAGCCCAAGCCAGAAAACTTAGGTCATCTTTAATTCCTTATCTTTTCTTCCTGACCTAAGGGGTCACTGGAACTTGCCAATTTTAATTATTTTTGGAATAAATATTTAATCATCTATGCATCAGGTAGGCCCAGTGCTTGAGAGCCACCAGTGAACTGAACTTTACCCCTGTGGAGCTCATAGCCCGGCCCAGCTCTTTAAAGTCTCTCCTATCAGTCTCTTCCTCCCTCCCTCCCTCCAAGGCTGCTGCTTTAATCGTGGTCCATTCCATTATCCATCATTGATTACAGATTTACTGAGCATCTGTTATGTACCAGATACCTACTAAGGCTCTGTGGATATTGCAGTATATCTGTGGGCCCAGACAGACTGGATGCTGTCATGGAGCTTCTGTTCCAGGGGGAGAGACAGATACCGTCAGTTTGTGGTCACTGCTACAAAGAAAATAAAAAGGGTGGCATAATAA